GCCGATTGATGTGCGTAACTTTCAGATTCACTCATATACTGCGATTATCCCCGTATGGCAAAAGTGATATGACTCCGTTCATCGAAAAATCCTGTGTGTTGAATTTGGTAATACATGTACAAGAAAAGTTCATAAAGGTCGATTTTTTCAAGCGTCGCTTAGTGGTGGATTTTAAAACGTCGTACTCATCATGCAGCGCATTCGAATTTCGTGTAAACAGTGTATTTCTCACGCATTGTATGCCTAACGCGAGACTCAAGTTGAACACGACGCGGCGCGGTGGCTTTTACCCTTCAATCATTTTCACAAATCCATGCTGTTTTTCTCACTTTTTTTTTCAAATTGTCCTCCAATATTCATTTTCTGTCATTGTTCCAGTCCATATGAATTTATTCAAGTTTAAACGTTACAAACACCACTGAGTATCACGTGATCGTCACGCCGCGGAAAGGCCGTTGACGTTGCAGGTCGGCGTCCTTTTTACACCGCTTCCTGTGACGACACAACGCGAAGAGGCGGAATATAGTACACGTGTATGACCGCGATCTATCCAGTGTATTGCGCAGTGTCAGTACTCGTCGATCCGCAACAATAAGTAAATATGTCTCCGGGCAGGGAATGTTATCAGAGCATCTTATTTATGAATTATGTATAACACAAATATAGAACGTGTCGTTCAGATAAGTCCGAATCCATGAACTGGCCCGCCTAAGCCGTGTACAACTTTTATATAGCCCGAAAAACACCCATATTCTGATTATAATGGTTTAGCCACAAGCGATACACGAATAACGTATTAGTTTTGCGGCATGCCGTACACGAGTACGACGATCCAGAAATTGCCTCTTGTGTGTATGTTACTTGAGTAGCACACAGCCCGAGGCGCAATGTACAGATTGAGTGGATTACTTGTGTTCACATCCACTTTACGGCTATGCTAGTTCAACCTGCGTGGTTGGTGTGCGTGTCGAGTTTATTCGCGAAGGGGAGTACGAATTGAACATTGTTGAGGTTTTTGTTTTTTACCATTTCATTATTATTACAGATATGACCCAGTCGCAGTGAGTGAATGAGTGAGTGAGGTATTGTAACACGATAACCGAGTCACGATAATATATCATATATAATATGAATAAGGATTTAAGTTCACATTTAATCTGTTTATCGTATTATTCGGGTTTTAAAACCCGATCATGTTTAATTCAGAAAACACACTCAATCTTATACATCGCGAGAATAACAGATTTTGTATATGTGTGTGCTGTCGGTCGGGTGTGTTATAGCAGTTCGATTTGCGATCGATATCTGACACGAGGTTAGACGCCTATTTGCTTTTAGTAATTAGACCACCATTCCCACAGGGTTAATGTGTCGTCTGGTTCTAATAACATGCATACGAGAAGAAAAAATCAAAGGTGTCGCTGGAATAATTTGAAAAAAATCCTTCAACGGTATTTTAGATACATGTTGATACGACTACGTGGTACCTGCATCGCTGGCTTTATTTTTTCCCCCAGCGCTCAATCTAACCTACTATTGGATTATACGCGAGATCTCGCGTGTATGTGTATTTGTGAAAGCCTTGGACGCGGCATATGATAGCGACACTTAAAACGCAGTAGTTTTGATATCCCATTAGCAGTTTCATACTGACACCATGATTGCACGAACCTCATAAGCGGAATGGCGCGCCAGCATTGCAGGTTACAAGTGGGGTCTCGCACGTCGTGATATTCCACGAGTGAGCGCTTGAACGTCCGATATAAACCAACTTATGCAGTCATCGTATGAACCAACTGTGCGATTACGAATTTAAAGAGGCACCGATATACACGTGGGTATAGCAAGACACCCTAATATATTATAACACAAGGCTATGCACATATTAGCACTTACCCGTTTAAACCGTAATTTAATCATATCGTGTTCGTAGACTTCCGTTTCATAATTGCCTCTAGACATATAGATTCATATATAAACAATATGCCAAATTGAAAAAAAAATTGTATGGGGTCAGTTTAAATAAATATATAATCATCAAATCTGCTTTCAACATACTACAGCAAGAATATTGCAAAAGACTGTGTATTCGATTCATACTGTGCGAAGTTTGCATAGTGCTGTTAATTAGGAAGAATCAAAATAGAAATGAAGTATATGTGTATATGTATATACAAGTGACGCCCTCTTGCGACAAAACTCTTCTATGACGTATACAACGCGAATCTGTTCAAAGCGTCGATATCGTTTTGATCTGCAATCTTCCATCGATGGAAGTCACGTTTTCGAGAGAAAAAAAAATAATATAGTCTTGATAACAAACGACTACGCAGCCAAATACAATTGTCGGTTTGCACGATGTCCAAAAAGCAGGCGGTTTGTATGAACTGGACTGGACTGGACGCCATATTCAGTTACCACATGTAGCTTGAATGATTGAAGGGAATAACATATAAATATTTGTACATTCTTGCTATAATGGAAGTTAATTTTGCCTACTTGTACTAGCGTTTCAAACATTAATACATAGTGTGTGCTAAAATGACACTGTCAGTTTAGTAAAATGTACATATCTTGTTAGGATTATTATTATTATGATAATGATTATTATTATTATTATTATTATTATTATTATTATTATTATTATTATTATTATTATTATCATCATCATCATCATTAACTCACAGGTAGATGAGGTCAAATGCATTGCGTAAGACAAGCCATAAACTAGAAAACAAATGATTGACAACAATTGACAAAACAATCCACAAAAACAAAACAACTGACAAGTACTACACTATACTACTACACTGCATAGCAGTCATATCAGTAAGAGGAATACAAATGAACTCCATGACATACACGACATGAAGTGGTGTCAGGTGTTTCAAAAGGTATTGGCACATCCTGCCCCACAAGCAGTATCAGCCATTTATTATAATTCTGAATCCTAACTGGCCGTGGCAGTTACACCTTATTACATAGGGGATTATTATTATGTAACAGAAATTACTGCTGCTATAATATTGTGAACTTTAACCTTTGTGTTATTTTCACTCACTTTACAGCAGTTACACAATAGTTTAATTTATTCATACCTTTGTCGTGAAGCATATTTCAACCTTTTGCTTGTTGTCGGGTGGACCGAGGTGTTTACAATAAAAATACTGCCTCAATGAAGTTATATGTTTCGTTGTGTTTCAGCACGATAATAGAATATGCGCGTAACACGTGCGCAGACTGAATAAAATATAATTACTTTTTGCGGCGTTCGTATATTTAAACCAGTTTGGCTCCTCGATAGACAGAACCAGGGTTGCCCCCCTCCCGAATAATAACAAAAGCAACGTTAGAAATTTTCAAATTTGATGTGGTTGTTATGTTAGCGGCGCCCCCTGCCACAGACCCACCTCGTGTGCATTTGTCTAGGGTTCAATCTATTAACCGGGTCGTTTGGCGGGATTCATTAATAAGTATGAGAGCGCACTATGGCCATTATCGCTGGGGTAAGTGCTACTCGTGTACGTAGTCAGATGATACCATGCTAGTAAAAAGAGAGATAACAATAGTAGCAATTTAAAGGCTCTATCGTAAAATGTTGATTTTGTCGAGATGACTAATGTACAGCGAAATATATAACCTCCATCGCGTTATATGTTTATGTGCTGGCCTTTTATACAATCCTTTTTCATGCGTGGCATATAATGAAACGTTTTGATCGCCACGGTATTTAGTGTGAATAGCGCATTTTCAACGTTGGATGTTTATAGGCTCGATTAAATATGAATTTACAACCATAGTTGCATAGTCGTACACATGATGAAAAGCATCCGATCGAAAAGCAGACCGTCTGAATTCACTACGACGCGACATCGCCGGTTATTATACAAATAACTTAGACCCTTCAGTCTGAGTGTGTTTAATGATTATAGGTGTTTTAACAGTTTGAATGTACAACCCGACGCATTGAGAACACGATGCACACGATGTCTGAATCGGTTACTGTGAATTCGTCGTTGCATATGTAAAGATGCCCCGGCTAACGGTGTTTTCGTTCTCTCATGTTACAGACGCAGTACAGTGGCACCAGTGACTTTTGTGTTTGGCGTGTTGCATCCATGACAGGCATTTAATGGAAGTACAGGGGGGAAATTGAAGGATCAGTCTCCGAGTATTGGTACCATTCATTTACAGTGCCTACGCACGTGAACAGCTGTTGGAATTAGGAAATCGATTTTGTTGGCGCTCTATATCCACACTACGGGGAAATTTAATATATTCATATTTAAGCGGATTGTTTTTAACTTCAAAGTCGCGTTAAAACACACCCATAACAATATTTTGCACTTATTTCCATCCACGCGGGAACCATTTCAGCGGAAACTTGTGGCAGCAATTATAATCATTATAATTACAATGATTGGACATTACTCGACTTGGTGATATGGTGATGTTCTGTGGCATGCGCTCATTAAACGCCAATTATTATGTTCGCGTTTCACTGCAATTTATAATATAATTGACGTTGTTCATTTAAAGTGCAGTGAAGCTGACTGTGTGTACACGAACAAACGTACTCCCGGAGAGCTGACTGTTGTTGACAAACGTTGGCAGCTGCCACACATGGACTAATTTACCTCTGACTGGCTAGCCTACCGTGTGCATGTGCCCATACGTCTATTAAGACTTCGTCTCCCCAGTGCGCCACCGCCAGCACAGAATACACTTAGTTTGATTGTTGCGGACACGTTCTACCGTCTATAGACGTGGCATCTCCAGATCTCGCGGTTTGTTTGTGAAATACCAGAAGCAGCTGTTATTGAGAAAGCAAGGATTATAACCCCGTGATTTGGCATCGCGCTGCTGCTACATCAGTCTGAGTTCTATAGTTTGCACAGAGACGTATTCAAATCCGGTTCGAAACACCGCGTGTTATAGAGACGTACAAGGGGGTATTCCAGCGGCTTTCAGTGACGCATTAATTGCAGAAACAGTCGAGTATGGGGGATACAGATCTCCGTTACCGCCTAGTGGTGCTAGGAGCTGGTAAAGTCGGCAAGAGCTCGATAATTTCGCGGTTTTTACACGGTAATTTTGCTGAGAAATACAGAGAAACGATCGAGGACCTGCATTGCAGGGAATATGAAATTAATGGCAATGTCATCAAGGTAGATATATTAGACACCGCTGGGTCGCAAGCGTTCCCCGCTATGAGGAGACTGTCTATTTCCACGGCGCACGCTTTTTTGTTGGTGTATAGCATTGATGACAGCGAGTCATTCGACGAAATCAAGCAAGTATACGAACAGATACGGGAACAGAAAAGTAATTATCAAGACATTCCTCTGATTCTAGTCGGAAACAAGACAGATCTGGAATCGGAACGACAGGTGTCAAAAGAATACGTAGATGATCATATTATAACGGAAAATTGGCACGGCGGATTTATCGAAGTGTCGGCTCGAGACAACTCGAATATCCTGGACATTTTTCAAAAATTACTACACCAAGCCAACGTCCCAGCTGCGCGTCAATTGAGTCCTATCCTGCGTCGAAGGATGAGCGAGCGCACGAAGACGGGGAAACCGTCGGCGTTTGTCCGCGAACCTAGCGAAGACAAGATGATGCGACGAAGTCGTAGTCTGATTCGCCGGAGTAGCAAGTCGAAGATGAAGCATAACGGCGACCAAAACCGTAATGACTGCGTTATATCGTGATTTAACTCGAAAAACTGTGGTTTTAAGGAAAGCATGTATACTTTTGACTAATGGGTCTCGAAGTGGCCGGGACTTATATGAACACAGAACACCAATATAGCAATACGAATATCGGCACTTTATGGTAAGAAATGCCCTCACGTGCACAATTATTGGGTTATAATTGCCTGCATGCCAGTGGGTATTTAAAGTACGCCCACCACAAAAATCTGCACGTGCATGATATATCACCACATTTGGTGCAATTTTTCAAGGTATTTCCGCCTATGTCACCAGTTAGATAACAAACAAACAAACACGAAAAAGGGACATATTGAATATATGCGTTCACACTGCACAACTTCTAATTGTTTTATCTTCTCCTTTACGATAAGAGACGTAACGTCGCCGACGCCTTCGTTCTAATGAATATTGATTTCTGTACAACGCGTGCCTCGATCTAATCGTGTTTTCTACTCTCAAACATACAGCGAACAGTCGTGGTTTGACCCTTGTGCGGCAGCCTCATTTGTCAATGATACAATGTACGCTTGTTTTCGGCAATGTTCTGCAATTTTCAATTTTGAACAGATCATTGATATTGATTGGAGATTCCTATAACAAAAATCTTTATAATCAGTTTATTTGAAAGAAGCACATATTTTGGAGAGGACTATATTGTGGAAGGTGACAACAGTTGACAGTGGTGTTGAAAGGCCAAAGACAAACTTGATGTCCGATCACATCAAAAACAAAGAATGTGAAACCACGCGAAGAACAGATGCTCAAAATGCAATCTCACTACCGATTCATTCTCCAAAACAGACTATAATTATAATAGAAGGAATATATATATATCTATATGTATAGGAAACCAATCACAGCCATCGTTTGTTCAAAATGGCGGCTGGTCTTACATGACCACGTGGAGAGCGTCCGTACTTGTTGCCTATTTTTTTGATTCTCGCTGTTGTTTTTTCTATATCTGTCAATCATCCAGAGGTGCTCGAATCGTGGTCGAATTTATGTGTTATATTGACAATGCATTCAGCTCGCTTCTGGTGCTTTTCAATGAAGTTTACATTCACTGTCCATGAATGCTGTATACCTTATGTGTGTGTGTGTTATTTTTAATACGAACACATGTACATGTACACATTGTTGAAGAGAGCGATGCGAATAGTTAGCCATTCATGTAACCATGGCAACATCACGGCATCACATGTCAGTTGTCAACGCATCCAATTATGTTGATTTCATCCCAAAGGATTCAGTTAACGTTCTCCAAAGTGAATTAAAAGATTATCAGATTTAATGTGTAAGCTCGAGTAATTCACAATTTGTTACGTGTGACTAAACTCACAATTAACATTGGAGCTGACTTTGATCGATGCGACACACCCATCGCCCATGTCACGTGATGGCAACAGCAGTCAAATACGCCGACTCTGAGGATTGCGTAAACCAATGTAATTCATTTTCCTGTTTGAGTATTTTGTATGTTATTTTAGTTGGTTTGTTTACTTTTACGTAACACGTGGTAAATACATTGTGTAAAAAAATATATTGTTGCAAAATTGTTATTTGTAAATGTGTATACATTTACGCAATATTTCTGTTATACTTATACTATCAATTTCGTTCGAAAACAGTTTATTATACTTCATGTGTATTTGATGGTGAATTGTTCCGTTTCAGTGTACATGGAAATCACAGACTTTTAACGTCCTTTTAGTTTTCAAATCGTGAATACACGTACTATGTTTTCATACATGATATACGCCTGCTAGAATGTCGTGCCGTCGTTAGCTATACACTCGTAATTTTATTTAAAAAAAACCATGTTGATCTCTTTTCGTATTCTTTATTAATATATTGATTTCTAGTAACTTACTGCAAAACTAATTTCAAATAGAGGAGCTGCGATTGAAACATATTTTATATTTGCGGAAGGTGGGGTGTATGTTGATCGAGTTATACTAAAGCCTGAAAAACAAACGTTGACTAAGAAACTTGAAACATTATTGACAAACGACATTACGTTTATTCAGTTGAACAAAAAGTTTGAGTAGTCACTCCTAAATGAATTTCAGCCTGAGTACTACATGTTTTGCTCAAATGGCATTTTAATTGCTATGTCTATGTACGATCTAACTCTTTAACAATGTCCCTCGTATTGAAAAGCGCGCAATCTTTGCTTCTTTAAAAAAACATACATAATATAAATAATTTAAAGATTCGTGTAAGATGTCTGGAGCCTAGAGTGTATTTTTCAATTAACATTCCTAATAATCTGTCTCATAGTTGTCGGGGTTTGCGCTCGATCTAATGGGGACTTCACATTATGCTATATTTTGTATATTTCTATACTACTTGAGGTCAATGACAGCTAAGGTGTATTCTGAAATAGCTATTCTTGTGTAATAAATGCCCAATCAATCTAAACAGCGCTGAAATAAACCTCTGGGCTTATTAAAAACTGTCAAATGTTTCCAACCGTTTTAATATTGAATTTCCATCTTTCATGAATTTCAATGCATTTTACATCCCTGCGGACGAGGTTCCAACGTAGCAACAGTAGTAACCAAAAACAAAATATTTCATCGATGTACAAACACTAATAATTAGCATTTTAATATAAAGGGTTATTGCTAGTTTCCATCATGGCAATGTCGATATTGTGTTAATAAACGTATGTTTACGAATATATATTGCTTTACTGTGCATACTTAGAGCAGTATGTAATGCTTCCCACGGCGAATACCATGGTTGTCTTGATACAACTTGCATCACAACAATTTACAATTTACCACGTGAATTCGACATAGAGAAATATACATACTCCCACACGTCCTTTGGTTACTTGACGTAGCCAGGAAAAACAGGATATGCGACTGATGTATTTCCTGTGAAGCAATGCAACTTTACATAATTTAAGCTAATCTGCGTTAGGCGCCGTAACTGTCCAACTTCCTGTTGCATTCAGAATCTTTCATTAGCCACACTTCAAAAACATACATTTTAAGTATAAGTGACTGTACAACGTCATTTTTTTGCCTGTGCAATCAACTTACTATCAAGAGGACCAAAAACACCATATTCTGAACAATACGGAGTTAATTTCGTGATTAAAAGAACATAGTGGAAATCGCTGACTGGAAAATGAGCCAAATTAAAACCCAGTGAATATGTAAAATTGAGCATAGAACACGTTATCTAAATGATAAAACTGTGAATTAAAAACACAATGAATATGCCTGAAATGCTTAATCAACGAAATTTAAATCCAGTGAAAATTAATTAATCATTTAGCAGTATAGAAAATTGCAGTGGGTTATCGTAGTCCTTGTTAATTTCTTCATTATAACCAGGCGTTTCGAACATTGACCCTTCATCAGTGTAGTGCGTCATACAGTGCAGTGCGCACCGACTAGAACAATAGGACGTTACGCGCGCGTGTTTGTTACATTGGTGGTTATCGCACCAAGTCTTATTTTTTCGTTGAATATTTTGAATACCAAAACTGCCTTGCCAATGGAAGTACATGAAAATGTTCTTTTGATCCCTTAAAGGTAATTTATTTGAAGAAAAAAAACAATTAATTATACGAAGTCATATCGTAATCGCTGCTTTCTTTGAATATTGCCTCTATAACCAATCCCGCTTCTCAAGGGTTTATGGCAGAAGATATACTTTGTATGTGATGTGTCACGGTAAAACACTAAAGTACAGATCAAATACTGTGATTAATTGAAAGGATAAGTATTTCATCCGTTTAGTCAAAACAATCAACGGTTATCTACATCTCCACGTCTCGGCACAGAGCGCACCCAATCCACTGGGGGCACAACCAAAACGCAACGCGGTCCAATAATCTAATACCGTGTCGCATTTTCTTCAAACATTGATTGTTGCTTAGATAAAGTGATGATAACGTCCTCGCGGTACGCATTTGTATTACTTTGTTAACATACGTGACTCATACCACGACTTTAACTTCGTCGTGTTCTTCAATTCCTAAATCGATTTGGGCATTTAAATTTTACATTGTACCTACGCCAAGAAATAAGCAAGGTTGTATTATGTATATTTCAAGTAACTCCGAAAACATTAAGAATTCATTCAGTACAATGATTCTGAAAATGTCACTGTTGAGAGGATATTTGAAGTTCTTCAGATATATTAGACATGTACATTCAAAATAGCGTTATAGTACATGTAATTTGTTACAGAACTACTAAATACCATGGCAAACACTCAAGTGTTTTTTTCTCTTGTCAAAAAGTGACGCTCATTCGGTGATGAATTGATTCACATCCACGTATACGTAGTTCACACACAAAAAGAATCTGTAAACGGGATTTTGTTTGCATTCCAAGCAATCATTCGACACTGTCACCACCATCCACGACAGTGAAGCAGCACGACGAACGTGTAACCATGGCGACGTCTTGTACACCTATGTAGAGAATTATTCTATTTGGTGTTAAACGTTCCTTCATTTCCGTTCCAACCGTTCTTTTAACAAAATCCTTTTAGCGGCGTTTAAAAGCGAGAATGTGACACCTATTTTAACATTTGCGAGCAACTGCCGAGGCGAAGCCGATTTTTACCTCAACACGAACCTCGCACGAAAGAAATTAATTATCACCAAACACTGGGGATATTAATCAATTTCAAAGTAGGGCGCATCTGCTAAGTGAGCTTTAATGTCCGTGACATATATCATTATTATCCTATTTTTTGCGCGAATACCACCTGCCGATATTAGGGTTTATATTTATGTTTTCGATTTGGAAAGCGTTCTCACAATCCAGACATCAAGACGCCGCGTTTCTTTAGCTACAAAGCTGTAATATCGATTACCATATTTTCGTCGTCTGTCGCGGATTGTGTGTATAATACCATTTGCCGGTAATAACAACTGATACTGCTCCAACATCACCTGTTCCGGACGTAACTATGGCAGACGTATACATTATCACATACTTTTAAGTATGAATATATATAAAGATTTTTGGAACGATCGTTAAATTACTTAAAATGTGCATTGTTTTAAAATAGCAACTTAAATTCATCATTATTTTATCTGCATTTCCCTCTTTTTGCTATGAAAATCACCGAATGCAGTTGTATTCTGCGGCCACCGAAGCTTTCGGTATCATACATATACGAATTCGAACTCTGGGCACACTAACTTCCTAAATGGAAGTTAATTATGTGCTCAACTACACGCATACTCCACGCATACGAATCATATTCAAATCGTCAATTGGCAACTCGATCAGCCAATTAGGTTGATATCGTTGTTTTTTAAAAAA